CAAAAAGTGAATCCACTGGGTGCAATCTCAAATCCGACATTATTTTCATAAAAAGCGCCCCCCAAAACCTAATAGTCGACCCTAATATCGATTTAATCCAAAAATTTAAAAAAAGTCGGTGCCCGGGGGGTCCGATTTCAAATTCGTTATCATTTTCATAAAAAGCGCCCCCCAAAACATAATAGTCGACACTGATATCGATTTAATCCAAAAAGTTAAAAAAAGTCGGAGCCCGGGGGGGCCAATCTCAAATTCGATATAATTTTCATAATAAGCGCCCCCCAAAATATAAGAGTCGACCCTGATATCGATTTAATCCAAAAAGTTAAAAAAAGTCGAGGACCGGGGGGCCCATTTTCAAATTCGATAGCCTTTTCATAAAAAGCGCCCCCCAAAACATAATAGTCGACCCTGATATCGATTTAATTCCAAAAGTTGAAAAAAGTCGGAGCACGGGGGGCCCAATCTCAAATTCGATATCATTTTCATATAAAGCGCCCCCCAAAACATACTAATCAACCCTGATATCGATTTAACACAAAAACGTAAAACAAGTCGAGGCTCGGGAGGCCCATTTTCAAATTCGATAGCCTTTTCATAAAAAGCGCTCCCCCCCCCAAAACATAATAGTCGACCCTGATATCGATTTAAGTCAAAAAATTTAAAAAAAGTCGGTGCCCGGGGGGCCCAATCTCAAATTCGATATCATTTTCATAAAAAGCGCCCCCCAAAACATAATAGTCGGCCCTGGTATCGATTAAATCGGAAAAGTTATGAAAATTCGATGGCCGGGGGCACTATCTAAAATCCGACAGTATATTTTTATAAAAAAGGCCCCCCAAAACATGATGGTTAGTCTAATATCGATTAATGGGGGCTCGGGGTTGGTCAGGTCGAATATGGCCGCTATTATTGAAGGAAATAAAAGAAAACATTTTTACTCTTTATAATAGTGACGGAGTAGTTGAAAAATAAAAAGTACTCTCTGTAGGAATTCGGCTGAGTACTTTCTGTAATTCGATATAACGGCGCGAGTATTTTCTGTACTTAACTAAATCATGATTAACACAGCGTGAGTACTCTCAGTACTCGCCGCTGTCAGACCGAGTACAGAAACTACTCGATACTTTTTCCTAATAAAATTACTCAAATCATGAAAGTAATCGAGTACTGCCCATCTCTAGCTGCCGAGATAGCAGTGGAGTATCCAAGTGGATGGATTCAGATTAGAAATAAAAATGTACAATTTTCAGAATCCTGGTGACAATTATTAATTGTGATGTATAATGTATTATTGGAGGTATATGTTTTGTTAGAGAATTATAGGTATACGTGTTAATGTTTTGGATGAATATGGTTCAATGCTCCAAAAGCTTCATGTAACGATAAAATAAAATGAGATAGAATTAAAAGAGTATTTTTCTATATTTCAAGAATATATATACAATCTACCTATTATACACAAGAGATTTGTTTTATGTTAAATCACAATTTTATATTAAAAATGCAAAGAAAAGATATATTTTAATGCAAAATTTCTAAAAAAAAGTATCCTATAGCGTTTTATATGTTAAATATTCTAGATAGGCATAGATCTATTGAGATATCAGTTTTTCCCTTAAATATGTAAAAACGGAGAAACCCTTTAAATCTGAGTCCTAATAATGAGGTGATAGTAATCTTACAAAATTATTGTTTCCCTGATATTATATTATGGTATTATATTTTTCAAGCACTAAATACCCATTTAATGTATTTTAGTTTCTTATACCATTTTTATTTCTATTAAAATACATTATTACACTAAATTACAAAAACCTTAAGACCAATAAACATGCATTTCTGAATTTAAATCTTTATATTTTTTTCTCAGAGGTAAATATATAATATTTAAACATTCTTTTAACCATCATAGCAATTATGGTTAGTATAGATGTCACACAAAAATATAAATATGAGAATAATTTCAATCATTAAATAGTAAATAAGTTATATTTTTTAGTTAATGAAGTTTCTTAGAAGTGGTTTATTAAAATATGCAGTTACTAGACATATATCAGACAAAAATAGTTCTGGGTTAATACAAGTTTAATTATGAAATATATTTCAAAAACTAAAACTGATGGAGTTTTAATAGATATAAATAAAAAAAGAACATAATTATTGACATGAATTAAATATGCTTTGATGATGTTTACTGTTTTTTTTTCCATTCTTACACTATTCTAATATTGCTTTATATTATAGTCACCTATTTAGTTTATATTAACATTTATTGACTGTATTCCACCCTCTTAGGTTTAAATAAGGAATAAATATCTTATCTTTGCATGTACATAATTTTTTCCCCTGTGATACAGGCCAACTAGGGGTCGCGCCTATATCATTATTTTTTGGCTTTTCTTTTAGCCCAAACTTTCCTAATTTTTTCAATCATTTTTTTTTTCTGTTATGTCCGTTTCCTCCTACCTTTCTCCTCTTTTCTACTCCGAGGACCTCTATTTTATTCACTGTTCCCCTTAATTTATCGTTATCTAGATATTTCTCTTCTTTTATCCCAAGTCTGACCATTTCTTTCTCTGTCTGTTCAGAATATCCTTTGATGTTCTTTAGTCCCATTAATTTGTAAAATATCTCTTCATCATATTGTTTCTAGATCTTCAACATCTTTATACAACACTTGGTTATTTTTAGGGCAGTACTCATCTCCCACCTTTCTTGGCCCAACGGTACACCTTAGTATCTTCCTCTTTTGTGAACTTGTGAATTCAATTGTCTTAATTCAATATAACACTACCAGTTTAACTACTGTTTCATAATGTCTCATCTTTGTTTTTCTGGATGGATTCTTCTTGCTTTATATATTTTTAACAAGATATTTAAATCTGCCCACTAGCGGATCCAGGATTTAATTTGGGAAGGGCTTCAGTCTGAAAGCATTTCTGCTAAAGCATTTTCTTTCTTTTTTTCCAAAGTAATTATCGTTATATATATATATATATATATATATATATATATATATATATAAAATGATAATTACTTTGGAAAAAAAGAAAGAAACTAATTACCGTTATGAAATGATGTTTAAGTGACTCTTGAAGTACTATTAAATGTATTTACACAAACAATAATACTTTTAGAGATAATTTTACCATTTGGGGGAGGGCTTCTCGAAAACCCTCCCTCTCTTCCCTCCTCCTCCTGTGGATCCGCCTGTGAGTCTGCTTGGCTTCACTTCTCTGTTAAATTACTCCCATTGGGGGGCGGGGAGGCCGAATGGGCTAAAGCGTGTGCACAGCACCGCGAGTTGCCTGGCAACCGGATAACAGATTTGAGAAGATTATAAAAAGCACTAGTTCGAGTCCCGGTACTGTTAGGGGATTTTAAATTCAATGCCCTCATCCCCCGTCCCGGGAAAATCTCGTATAGCCTAAAAGGCGAGGTAGGGAAGAACAGAAAAAAAAAAAAAAAATTACTCCCATTATACTTCACTAGTTCTCCATGGTAGTTGGACAGTGATATCCTCATATTTAGTTCTAATTTTCTTTTCAGTTCATAGTTTGTTGGTCATAATTTTTGGTTTCATGAAGGATATCTTTAGGGATGCCATTGTTTCTAAGAACTCCTATAAAAAAATAATCTCCTGGTGCGGGGTCCTCTTTGTAAGGTGAAAGGGCCTGGGGGTGAGTTTATTTTTGATGGATCGTAATAAAAATAATAACAATAAATTTAAAATAAATTTATTTCAAATTAAAAAAGTTTTGTTTCATCATTTTTATCTATATTTATCATCGTTTGTAGTAGAATAGATAGTGGATGGCCAAAAGAATTCAACCCTGAGGAAGTATTCTCTGCACTCATTACACAAGTCTGAATGTAAAGTGGTTCCATCCTGATTACTGATCATCACAGATCCTGAGGAGATATGTGGGATTCTGTGAGAAACTCAGAATCATAGGAAGAATATCAATCCCTGGAGTCCAGTTTGTGGAGTCCCTGATATAGCTAAACATGCTGTGACATCTTGCATCACTATTGCCTGATATCAAGCCTGGTTACCCAACAAAACAGGCTATACAAAATCAGTGATGACGCTTTACCAAGATTGATGCAGGAAAAGTACGTGTTTTTCATGGACTAATTTAGAAAGTAGAAAAAATTAGTTGGCGAAGGTATTTGGATCTAGGTAGAGGCTACCATAAGGAGAGAGGAGGAATACGAATGTCACCTAGACTGTCAGATGAGGAACAGTCAGAGGTGTAGGAGCAGATAATACTGCATTAGTAGGAAGGACTAGAGATACTAAAAAAGTGCAACTCCATCAGTAAGGTGCACGAACTTTCTGTTCGATATACTTTATGACAATATAAAAGTTCTAAAATTTCGTATGATGAGATTACAAATAAAACTGAGTTTAATTAATGTTTCCCAAATCCCATATGACAGAAATGGGTATGTGGAGGGGAGGGGGGTAGAAGGAATTGACAAAAGGTAGCTAAGGAGGTTTAAGTCCTTTAAAAACTGTAGTGGCAAATAATCAGTTACATTGATGAACTACAATTGTAAAAGTTTATAGTCAAAACTCTTCATAAATACAGAGTAGTAATGCTGTTTAAATATTTGTTGAGTAGGCCGAGTGATGGCATAAATATATACATTAAATATACATAAACTTTATACAAATTGAACTGCAATATTCACTTTCAGGATTTTTAATATTTTTGGAGTTGTATTTTACTTATCAAATCAGGCTATTATAATTGTTTTATCCATTTAACTCTGTCTAAAGACTCATTTAACTGACTTAAATTCAGTTCCATACAGATTCATGTATTTGAGGTGAATTATAACAATATTTATTCAACTTAAAAATTAGGCACAGTTAATAAAAGATCTAAGGCCTTACTAATATAAAATTCACTCTTAATTACAACTTATTTTTAAAAATATCTCATAAATTAAGCATCTTGACTAAACAAACTCCTGATTTATTTCCATAAGTTAAATAGATTTTTACCTAATTCTGGGTACAATCTATAAAGCTTATTAAAGGAAATAGTTTTGACTATGTGATATTTTATTTTAGCTCATTCCTTAGAGTCTGATCAGATAGAGAACCTAAAGATCATCAATTTGTACTTCAAACCAACTTCTTTTTGTACAAACATCCTAATCTATTTAAGGGTATTTATATTATACTTAATGGTGGGCACTATGCAATAAATAAACATTTATGCTATAAATTAGGTGGTATACTACCACCAATCTCTATGCATTTTATGTAAGGTTAATTAAATGAGGTATTAAATTTAAAGACAAATTTATCATTATAATTTTCCATTAGAAATATTTATGAATATTTGAATTTTTTTTTAATTGGTTAGTTGAATTCATTGAACTACTAAAATAGACAGTTATTTACAGCTATGAATATCAACTGTTTTGACACATAGTTTACACTTAACATAACAGCACCAATGAAACTGACATTCACATCTTTCTTTAAGATTGACTTTTTGAGTGTTATATCCTCTTCCACAGCACATTAAATTGCATCCATCCATCCCAGGAGAAGTTCTGTTACACATCCGTCCTTGTGTTCCTAATAACCAAATAATTATGTAATTGAATAGTTTATACTATTTTAAGGATTAAGATATATTAATTTGGGATGTATAAATAAGTTTAGTATTGAATCCTTATTAAGTTTAACTTTTTAAATTACATGCATTTAACTTTGTACTTTATAAAGTGTTATGCTATGTATCACTCAAAATTGGGATGCCATTGGATAATTATTCAAAATTATTTGTAGTCATAGATTATATTTTATATTATTACTTAAAAAATGGTAATTTTATTGGTTCTGGAGTATTAAAGATTGAATTTCTTTTTCTAAGGGTCTCATTATGCTTATTAAATTTACTAATTGATAGATTTTCACATAACAGTAGTATAATCATAATTTATGGTGACATAGTGTAGTTGACATTTGATAATTACAGAAAGACTTGATTTATTAGATAAATGACTTAATACATATAGGAATAATTCAGATAGATTTGGATAATAACTGTCTAGAAATATTTAATATTATTACTATTACTACTTAGGATCTTAGTCTACATAATTGCACTTAACTTAGATGGAAGAAGGAAGTACCAGCAGATTTCAGGAAGTTACTGAAAAAGGAGCGACCTGCTGAGTCTTCCTCTTACCCCCTTGCTCCTTGCTTCCAACCCACATCTGATCTATTCACCCATCACCAAAAGACTAGATATAGAGTGTCTGAAAAATGTTAGGTGAGCTTTTTCATGGAATCGAGCCCAAAAATAGTGGCTTGCTTGAAAACTTTCAAAGGTTTTATAGGGCTGTTCTCTTAAATAACTTTTCTATGTATGGAGATAGGATCTCTCTCACTGGTTCCTTTGCTTTTAGTGATAACTACCCTATCCATTTTTTCCATACAGTCAAAAACCTAGAAGTAACCTATGACCAGAATCTTTCCTGGAATAACCATATCTCCCAGATTACATGAAAATCCACAACTGTCCTTAAACAACTCAAGATTCTGTTATTGTATTTCTCTAAAAACCAGACAGCTCCTTTTTCCTCCCCACTTCAACAAGGCTTCTTTGTGTAAGGAGTTGTTTCATCTGTCAGGCTAAAGATGAGACTGAAGAGACCCATGAATTGCTTCATAAGATATATCTTTGGGATTCCCGGCCATTTTCATGGTTTCTGTTAGTACACTGAGCTGAAATTCTTTTATTCTACTTCACGATGGTAATTCCTTCTTGGTGTTTTCCTTTTCCAAGTCTTTAGAACCAAAAACCCTCCCTACATGCTGGAACTTCTTACTCTACGTTCCTCTATCCACTCTCTCAATACCAGGTCTCAACCTATAGAATTATATATCCTCTCCCATAAAACTACTTTCTTCAGCAAATCCTTCGTCATTAATGCTACTTCCTTTTGAAACTTTTTATCTACCTCTACACATCAATCTTTGTCCACAAATTCCTTCAAAGTACTCCTGTTCCATTACCTACTCCATATTCAAACTTCGCAAACAAGTAAAATATACTTGTCTCTGTACACTGTATAATTCAATAAACTGAACAATTGCAATTAACAGTTAATTAGACATCATTTTGTGTACTCTAAGCCAGACTAATATTCATAATTATGGAACTCTGTTATTATTCTTAGGGGACTGTGGTCCCAGAAGATTAATAATTATTATTATTTTTTCATTGCATTTCATACATAGACAAAGAAGACTATACACAATGGAAAAGCTGAATGAGCATTCTTCTGACACTCTAGATGAAGTCATTAGGTGATGGGTAAGCAAACCAGATGAGAATTGGAGGTAAGGAACGAATCAGCCAAGAAAGACAAAGCAGGCCAAATTAAAGTGAAATTTTTATATATATTTGTATATATTGAGAAATGCATTTCTGTGTTTTTTTTACAAGTCTTTTTGAACATTTTTGTGCTAAATTCATTATGATATGATAAAATAATAAAAATTACAATTTCTTTTATAACTTTATACTATATTTTTTTATAAGCAATGCTACAATTGATGAAAATCCAAAAAGGATTAAAAATATCAATATATAATTTTACAGGGTTAATAAGTATGGTTATATATATATTTATATATATATATATATATAGGAACACAGGGTTGATCTGTCCTATCCTTAAGAAGGGCTCCATGTATGAATGTAGCAATTACAGAGGCATAGCACTTCTTCCGGTCACCTATAAAATAATGACTAATATTCTGCTAAATCGGATATATCCATATTATGAAAACATAATAGGCTACCATCAAACAGGATTCAGGAGAGGGAGGAGTACGCTAGACCAGATATTCATCATGAAACAAGTACTTGAAAAACGATTGGAAGTAGATCAGGATGTACACGCATTATTTGTCGACTTCAAATCAGCCTATGACTCCGTTGACAGAAACTGTCTCTGGAAGATCATGACTGAGCTGGGTGTTCCCAGGAAATTAGTGAGGTGACGAAGGCGTGTACAAATGATCCTAAATGCAGGGTACTAATACAAGGAGACGTATCTGAAGCCTTTGAAGTTTGAACGGGCTTGAGGAAGGGAGATGGACTCTCGCCGATGCTGTTCAACTTAGCACTAGAGAAAGGAATAAGAATAACATCATGTGAAGATGGAGGGGTGCACGTTGGAATGAAACATAAAATCCTAGCATATGCTGATGATATAGCTGTCCTCGGAAGTAATCAAGAGGATATTGAGATACTCTCTCAGACTCTATTAAAAGAAGCAGAGCAAATCAAACTGCCCGTCAATGTAGATAAAACAAAATACATGATAGTTAGCCGAAACATCCACCCTAATAGCATGATCTGCGTGGATTCTAAGTCATTCCCGAAAGTAGACAGATTTAAATACCTCGGCTCCACAATAACCTCAATAAATGATCAACTAACAGAGATAGACCAGCGAATAACAAGTGCGAACAGATCTTTCTTCTCTCTTTCAAAGGTACCGAAATCCAGAAAAATCTCAAAATAAGGGTGTACAACACCGTTATTAAGCCATTTCTCCTGTACGGTTGTGAAACCTGGACTCTAACCGGTAAATTATAAGCCAGAATTGAGAAATTCGAAAGAAAAGTTCTACGTAGGATAACAGGGCCTATGCGGGACCAGAATCTTGACACATGGAGGAGAAGGAACAATAAAGAACTGCTGAAAGAAACGTTTCAGTCAATATCTCATGACATGAAGGCAAGGAGGTTAAGATGGGCAGGGCATGTAGCTCGTAGTAATCCATCAGGACGCCTCTATACTACAATGAATGACAGAGTAGTAGGCAAGAGACGATGTGGGAGGCCAAAAACCAGATGGATAGATAGGATAAACAAAGATACGGCTGAGCTTCATGCCACAAACTGGAAAGCAGTAGCCCAAGATAGGCAGAGGTGGAGAAGGCTGGTTCATGCGGCCAAAGATCTACAAGGTCTGTAGAACCAACCGAAAAAAGAAAAAAATATATATATACATATACACATATATATATATATATATATATATATATATATATATATATATATATTTATTTATTTATTTATTTTTTTTTTTTTTCGGTTGGTTCTACAGACCTTGTAGATCTTTGGCCTCATGTATATATTGTATGTTTATATTGTGTATATATATATATATATATATATATATATATATATATATATATATATATATATATATATATACATATATATATATACATATATATACATATATATATATACATATATATATATATATATATATATATATATATATATATATATAGAGAGAGAGAGAGAGAGAGAGAGAGAGAGAGAGAAACTTTATTCTGGGATGAAGTCTCTTAAGAATAACACAATGATACAGAAAAAAAAAAGAATTACTCCTGGCCAGAACTGTTACATTAAATAATAAAATTTGTATATATACAGTTCTATGAATAAATATAAACTTAAGGGAAAAAAATTATTTAAATTAGTTTAAGAAATTTATTTTAAAATCTGAGTAGCAAAAGATATTATTTAATGTATACTGTAAATGATTAGTTAAAATTTTAATAAACAATTTAGTCATATTGTCAGGATCATATTGTCAAACCAGGAGACAAGAGGAAAGCATAGAAGACCACTGAAAGTGTAACTGTATATGACCTATGATTTTTAAAATTCTACTTTTGCTTGCACTGTTGTTAAGAAGAGTAGAGCAATTAAATATTTTGGGTGGAGGGGGGAAGGGAGGTTCATGGGCCATCGACTTTGGGGGGAATGGGCACCTCTGAACTTCTATCATGTTTTTGATCACCTCCGATAGTCTTTTGGCAACACTTCTTACTAAACTAATTAAAGTGCTCTCTAGTATATTTTTCTAACCATGTGTGGTCCTTCCTTTGAGTTCTTTAATATTTTGTATTTTTGGCTTCTAAATGTCATAGAATTCTCTAACAATGATTTCCTACAAATTTTCAATTGTATTGAAATCCAAACTAAAAACTGCCCAATCCAAAAGATTGATCCCGAAATCCTGAAACCATTGTTTTGTAGAGCATGCTGTATGAATTGGTACGTTATCTGGCGAAAAATGATTACTTATTCTTCCATTCCAATTTTGGAGGTCTTCTACTTCTTTTTTTCCTCCATAATTGTCTGGGTCGCAACTTAAAAAGTATTTTGACTACTCGCTCTTAGCGGTTTAATTTTCCTCTGGATCATCTCACATCTTCTAAGGTATATTATCCTTTGCTGCTCAATTTCATTGATTTGAGTCCAATGCAGCATTATTTAAAAAAAAAAAAAAAAAAAGACTAATTCATACAAAGCAATACAGTATAAAAAACGAAACAATATATTCTCTTTTTAACAGTAAGAAAAAATTAAGGTGCTATTGATCCATTAATACACCTAGCAATTGAAAACAAACATTGAGTTTATACTTATTCACAGCATAAACAAGATTTTTATAAAAAATAGGCGTTCATAAACTATCAAACAGATCAATTGTCATTTAAAGCTTCGTACCAATCTAATAACATAAAAACAAGTGT